GTTTTGTTTTCCGAAAGTATACATGGTTTACAGTCAATGCTTTGACAAACTTAAAAATTATACTGAAAAGTGGTCTTTGACGGTAGATGTCCCTAAAACTTAATTATGGTTTTCCGTAAGTCAGGTAGTGAAGTGTGGCGGGTTAGGGTAGTGAAGAATTGGGATTCCATACAGCCCCTTACATTGAGAAGGTAGAATATATTTTTGTAAAAATATTCTTGGAGTTAAAAGGTCGAAACCAAAATGCTATGGTATACTTTGAACTGGGGAGGTTCCCATTGTGCCTCTTACGTAACCTAAGAATATTTAAATACTGGTGTAAGTTGACCTCTACCAACAATTGTATATTAAACGGATGTTACGAGTATATGTATAACGAATGTAAGGAGAATCCAAATTGTAAAAACTGGGTTGTGAAAATCAAACACGAGCTCTGCTCATTAGGTATGATGGACATTTGGGTTTCCCAACATATTATAAATGTAAACAATTTTATATATATTGTAAAACAATGTTTGCAACTTCAAGCAAGAGTGTGAGTTTTTTTTGTTTCGTCTTCAAAATGTGTTTTATACAGGTATGTTGTAGATCACTTATTTTTCAAAACCAATTCCTGCTAATTATAAAAATAACTATTGTTAGATTACGTTATCTTCGCATTGTCTTCTTATCGAATCAGACAGACACAGAAATGTTCCACGTCAGCTTCGAACTTGCCCGGTGTGTCTTAATGACATCAAGAATGAATATCATTTCATTTTAAAATGCCCCTTATATAATGATTAAAGAACCAAATATATTAAGCCCTATTATCGAATAAATCACCCCGTCTATTGAGTTTAATGCAAAAGGTTGTATCTATTAACTGTTTCGGTTTACCATCAATAAAGAATTACGAATTACGAATAATAAATACCGGGTTGTGTCACCATGGTCACCAGTACTTTTTACAAGAGACCGAAACATGTATGTGAAGGTGTTAAAATGACCGCGGGACATTTTATTGATGTCGTACAGGTAAATTTTGGACCTCAATCTATTGGTTGTAATTTCAAATGTTTTCATAACATTACCTATACTTCGAAACAGCGACAAATTCGACTCATGAAAGTTTGATTCAGGAATAAAATGTACGTAGTGTTGTATAAGGTAAAATATCCGGACTTTTCCGCAAGTTCGAAACATCGAGAAATTCGAATCTTCGAAGTTCGATTTATTTAGAAATTTGACTGTAGCTTAATTCGAATATTGTAAACACCCTATGGTTAATCTTTAAATTCTTAAAACGGTACTACAACGAAACAATTTATTATAGTAGACTCATAAGGTACTATAACGAAACAATGTATTATAGTAGACTCATAAGGTACTACAACGAAACAATGTATTATAGTAGACTCATAAGGTACTACAACGAAACAATGTATTATAGTAACCTGTACGGTTTTTAGTCAGAGTGGAGAATTTGCAGTAAGCAAAATATATTATACAATTATGGACATTTGTGCTAGTAAATATGCTGTGATATGAACCTACCGAGACGAAGCCGGGGTTAATATCACGTTTTCAGGTTAATATCACACCATATTTACCAGCCCATAACTGTTTGATTATATGCTTCACAATAAATTAAAAAAAAACTCAAGGTTCTCCATGTACAATTTAGCAAGGTTCCAGTGAATCCAACAGTTCGGTATCATAGCTTTCGAAGATATCGTCAAGGTTCTTTACCTAAAGATAAGCATAGAGGACACTCACTGCGTGTTTTATGGCATTTTTCGTATTAACAGCATCTTTATCTCCGAGTAGTTTTTGGACATTTTCAGATGTAACGGAGGCGAAGCGTTCGCCAGCAGCCATCTTAGCTTCTGTTGTCGTCTCACAGATCGACAGGTTGCGGGGGATTTCCATATAGGCTATATTTAGAAATCGGTGTTCACCGAATAACCAGTCTGCATGAGTTTTTGAAGACTGTTTACGAGTATGGGCTCCGGCCATTGTGATTGCTAGGAATCGCCAACCTATTTTAATTAGGAATGAGGTCTATAACAGATATACAAATCAGGGTCAATATTCATGAAACGGTGTTCGTGCTCAAACACATTTTTACCACAAAGCTGAAGACAACTTTCTTGTACATTGACAGAATCTGGATTTGAGTTCGGGAATGGTTTCTTTAATATGGGCCCTGGAAACAGGACGAATCCGCTCTTCCAATCAGAGTTGGGAATATACAGTCACATGTCCATATACTTTGGTTTGTTTGTTTGTGTTTCATGTCCTTTTAACAGCTATGGTCATTTAAGGACGTGTCAGGTTTTGGTGGTGGAGGAAAGCCGGAGTTCCCGGAGATAAACCACTGAGCGACGGCTGTATACCTGGCGACTGCCCCACACGTAGGCTTTAAATCTCGCAACCCAGTGGTGGAGGGCTAGTGGTACTGTAGCAGAATGTCAGACGCCTTAACCACTTGATCACCGCGGCACCGACAATATTTTTCACAGCAATATACCGATTTCGTTTGGGGATATTGGAAAATAGCTGAAAATAACACGATGTACCATGCAAATATATAAATATCGATTGCTCCAAGCATTTCAAAATTAAATTCTTAATTAAATCATCATATTCTTGATGAAGTATACTCAAAATATTCCAATCTTAAATAGTTTAAATATTTTCTTAAAAGGTACCGTTTCGTTTACCTTCGCTTTTTTCTTATAAATCTGGAATTTCTTATTTTTCCTAAATAGCAAAAGTGATTGAATTTCCGTTAAAATTCATTCAGGAAGTGAAACGTGGCAAAGAAATAAAGCAAAAAGGAAATGTATTGAACGTTATTACGTTTCGTTAATAGTTCGATAGTTTACATAATATGTATCACGTGTAGACAAGTTCAATGTAATAGCGATGCCCATGCTGAAACACGGCCGACCAAGCAGACAGACATAATCGACGAGATAAGGGTAAAAGATAGAAGGCGATCAACAGCGCAATAAAGCAAAAGTATACATGTGTAACAGGAGAGGAAAAATGCACGGCTAAACCGGGGTTCGAACCCGGGACCCTCGAACTCTACCTTTTGAACTATTTGGTCGCCGACAATCGACCCAGTCCAGTTCCGCTACATTCCTCCCTCCTTTAATAAAGGATTCAACCCCGAGGACACACGAAACCCTATACCACCTTCTGTGGGTGTATTTCGTTGGGCACCAAATGTAACAGGAGAGGAAAAATGCACGACCAGACCGGGGTTCGAACCCGGGACCCTCAGGACTCTAGACGGATGCTCTACCAATTGAGCTATCTGGTCGCCGACGATCGACACAGTCCAGTTCCGCTACACCTGGATGAAGCCTAAAGTCAATAGAATGCGCTTAATTAAGGAGGAAAACGGTTTGTCCACCACTAAGAGTTGCGAGGCTTTAACTTGACAGGTGAGAACTGAATCGTCTAAGAGTAGCACTCGGCAACTTATTGGGATAATATTACCACTGACCAAGTCCAAGATATAGTCGCTTATCGTTGGATTCTGATCTCGTGACATCTCGTAAATTCGCGCATGCACAATAATAACGTAAGCATGGCCTGATACATGTAAAGAACAATTCGGGTCCATGAAATAATGCTGAATCCGTCCATGAAATAATGCTTAATCTGTCCATGAAATAATGCTTAATCTGTCCATGTGTAATCTACTCTCTCTGTCATGTTTGATTCGATTGATGTTATTTGGTTTGACCTCTTGTTACACACTGTGTGTGTCAGAGCGTAATACACAATCTTGAATCTTGAAATCTTGGTAAATGCTTTACACGTTTATTCTGACATAAATGTAAGCTATTGGAATTTTAAATATTAACAAATCAGTATTTATGATATTTCCAATCTGATTAAAATCATATGTTACATGGCTTCGTTAACTTCGTACTACGCCTAAACATCTGAGTGTGCCGCGGTCAGGGTCACGTTCAGGTGACCTTTATATTTCTAAATGCTCATTAAATTTCGACCAATCAGAGACCCTCTTTCAAAAGCGCGCTCGGAGTGGTAACAAATATGGCGGACATTAATGAGAATGATGCGAAAGTTCTGAAGTTATTTGAGATTGATCGTCTGAAACCCGAACATAAAATGATATTCGAAGCTTTATTAGAGAAGAAAGACTGTATGGCGGTGTTGCCTACGCAATTATTACACAATGGGTACGTTTTTCTTGGCGTCGTAGAAACGTCAGTTCCCGCCGCCATATTTATTTTGGAAAACTAATCTGTTCGATACCCCTCGCTATTTATCAATCAACTAAGATATTCCGATTCGCTGGCAAACTTTTGCCAGCGCGCCTCTGATTGGTTCATCTAAAGGTCACTTGAACGTGACCCTGACCGCGGCACATTCAGATGTTCAGGCGGAGCCATATACAGATGATTTTAATCAGATTGTGACATGTCTGACTGCAATTTTAACCAGGTATTTTTTCTGATAGGTGGCGGAACGCTCACTTTTATTGTCTACTTAAACAACTAAAGTCTTGCAAGCGCCATACTTTCTCCGTGAATCAGATGTAGGGTACAAATTAAGCATTAAACATAATGATTTATTTAATTTACGCGTCACGATATTGTTTTTCATCCGGCACTTTATCTATTTAAATGAATAACTATACTTGTATGTATCTGCCGTATTGCAAACAAAGAGAGAAAAGAGACCGGTGATAATAGCTAAACCACACTGGGAAAAAATGGTCCACGATCTAAAAGAAAAAGAATAGCTGCGAATAGAAGCTGTTTACTGATGAAAGCTTCTGTTAACGTAAACGTGTCCTGTGTGAACCGCACACAATAACTACGTGTGTAGCGTTAAGTTATTACGTTGAATGGCTACATTAAGACATGTATAGATGACATGTAACGTACCCGGTAGTACTATTTATAGAGCAATTGAACAGGGTACGGATCAACACCCACCCTCAAAGTCAGGACGGCAAGAAACACTCGAACATGGCGTCGCTACATCAGCTCCTTATCTGGTCGCTAGCGCTAATACAAGGTAAGTTTTTGTTAATCTATCTACCAACAAAGTCACATTCTACGGATCAGTGATTTTTTAGTTTTACGATCAAATACATACTATATATTTCCCTGTTTTGTTTTTAGTTTTGGGTAAGTTATATGTATACTTACTTACCTATTGATTTCGATAGTATGGTTTTTTTTTTTTGTATTTTTGACCGGATTATCTAAACAGTCGCTTCATCCTAACGTCATCATATTGAGGTGTCGCCCTAGATATATTTTTTTACCTACCTTTAAGTTGGTATTTGCGTCGCCTTGGTAATATATTTGTACTTATGTAGGCCCTTTAATTAGTTGTTTAAGTCATACAGAGATCAAGGGGGAGCCAGGTCAAGTTGACCACTTACGATAACCGTCACTGGTAAACTCATACACGGCGGAACAGCCTCAGGATACTCGGGGTTCGGGTTTTATAGTTTTTACCGCTAATTTGGTTGTCTGTGTCGTTGTTCTGAACAGGAGGAAGCTGCTGTCTTTTGTTTCTCCTTTCCTCATTTAAAGGACACCAGTATTATGTATACAGACTTGCTATAAGAATGTAATAACCCCGCCCCTCCCAGCTGGTTCAGACACGGTGCATTGACTCATAGGTATTGCCAGTTTAATGGTAAATGTTGTTATATTCTTGACTTATCCTCTTTACTCGTAAAAAACACTTATATATGAACGTTTTATTTTCCCATGACCGTCACGGTATGATCATCAACGTTAAATTAGCTAGACATTGCGAACCAGTTTGTCGGCTATACAGCGATATCAGATCCGCTCAAACAAACCTGTGCTAGTTAAATGGGTGACTTGATCAACATACACACACACATATATATATATATATATAGAAGACTGCGAGTTAAAGGTGTATATATATATATATATATACAAGACTACGAGTTAAAGGTGTATATATATATATATAAAGAAGACTACGAGTTAAAGGTGTATATATATATATAGAAGACTACGAGTTAAATGTGTATATATATATATATAAAGAAGACTACGAGTTAAAGGTGTATAAATATATATAGAAGACTACGAGTTAAAGGGGTATATATATATATATATATATACAAGACTACGAGATAAAGGTGTATATATATATATAGAAAACTATGAGAGAAAAGTGTATATATATATATATATATAGAAGATTACGAGTTAAAGGTGTATAACTACTCACTGAAAAGGCAATTTAAAAAGAAATGTACGGAAATGTTTCTGCAACGTATAATTAGATTTTACGGCTTATTAAGTTAACAAATATTTCGGTTACCCGACATGTATAAATAACCATACCGAATGATCTAATCTTGTTAATAACTACGTAAACATACCGTTTATCCACAGTGACAGTTTTGTGTCGGGTGGATATAATATGCAATCCTGTTAAACAGGTTTACAAACAAATGCCATATATTTGTCGGTAAAGACATGTTCGGTAAAAACATGTACGGTAAAAACATGTACGGTAAAGACATGTACGGTAAAGACATGTACGGTAATGTACGGTAAAGACATGTACGGTAAAGACATGTACGGTAAAGACATGTACGGTAATGTACGGTAATGTACGGTAAAGACATGTACACCTTTAGTCAATGTTTAGGAACAGAAATAAAAACTTGCCAAACACTTACAAATACTTTCACACACTTACACACACACCTACACACACACACACACACACACACACACACAAAAACACACACACACACACACACCCACACACACACACTCACACACACACACACACACACACACACCCACACACACACACACACACACACACTCACACACCCACACACACACACACACACACACACACACACTTACACACACTTACACACCCACACCCACACTTACATACACTTACACACATTTACACACACTTACACACACTTACACCCACTTACACACACACACACACACACTTACACACTTACACACACTTACACACACCCACACACTTACACNCACACACACACACACACACACACACACACACACACACACACACACACACACACACACACACACACACTTACACACACTTACACACACTTACACCCCCCCACACACACTTACACACTTCTTGGTCCATAAGAATACACAAGGATAATATTCGAAAAATTCACTAAAAAAAAACATCAGCTGACATGAAAGTCATCCTGAACACCGCTGCTCTGAAAACGGACGTCATTTATCATGTTGTGATTTTTTCCTTTTTACACAATCTGATTAATGTAAAAATTGCATAATAATTATGAAGTCATCAGATTTTCTCTATTTGCTGTAAATATTTACACGTAAACACGTAAACAGACACATTCCTGTCAGAAAATATGTTTTCATACTCACTTCACCCAACAATGTAGGTATTATCTCTGTAACACTTTCTTCCTCCTGGTGAATGAACTCTCCATTCCGGAGGAGAGAAAGGACGTTGATGTTGATACCATTTCCCCCGGACTTTAAATCACTGAGTCTGACTACATAACTTGTCATCTTGACAGTGGTATATGTCATGACTTTTTTCACATTTTGTATTAAATGCAATTTTTTTAAAAATCTATTGCTTATCAGCTACAATTTTGATCCGACATTGTTTAGTTTGAGGTACGGTTCAGATTGCTGTATGACCCTGTATGACATTCTGTGGTGTGACGTGTGGTTCGGATTGTTGTAGGGTTCCGTATGACATTGTTTAGTTTGACGTGTGGTTCAGATTTCTGTATGGCCCTGTATGACATTGTTTAGTTTGACGTTCGCTTCGGATTGCTGTATGGCCCTGTATGACATTATGTGGTGTGACGTGCGGTACCAAACGGTGTATGGCCTTGTATGACATTATGTGGTGTGACGTGCGGTACCAATCGGTGTATGGCCCTGTATGACATTGTTTAATTGACGTACGGCTCGGATTGCTGTATGACACTGAAAGACATTCTGTGGTTTGTCGTCCGGTTCGGATTGCTGTATGGCCCTGTGTGACATGTTTTGGTTTGTCGTGCGGTTCGAATTGCCGTATGACACTGAATGACATTCTGTGGTTTGACCTCCGGTTCGGATTGCTGTACGGCCCCGTATGACATTTTTTGGTTTGTCGTCCGGTTCGGATTGCTGTATGGCCCTGTATGATATTTTTTGGTTTGACGTACGGTACGGATTGCTGTATGGCCTTGTATGACACTCTGTGGTTTGACGTGCGCTACGAATTGCTGTATGACCCTGTATGACATTCTCTGGTTTGACGTGTGGTTCGGATTGCTGTACGGCCCCGTATGACATTCTCTGGTTTGACGTGCGGTACGAATTGCTGTACGGCCCCGTATGACATTCTCTGGTTTGACGTGCGGTACGTATTGATGTACGGCCCTGAATGACATTCTGTGGTTTGTCGTCCGGTACGGATTGCTGTATGGCCCTGAATGACATTCTGTGGTTTGTGGTCCGTTTCGGATTGCCGTATGACCCTGTATGACATTCTGTGGTTTGTGGTCCGGTTCGGATTACTGTATGGCCCTGAATGACAGTCTGTGGTTTGTTGTCCGGTACGGATTGCTGTATGGCCCTGAATGACATTCTGTGGTTTGTTGTCCGGTACGGATTGCTGTACAGCCCTGAATGACATTCTGTGGTTTGTCGTCCGGTACGGATTGCTGTACGGCCCTTTATGATATTATGTGGTTTGTGGTCCGGTTCGGATTTCTGTACGGCCCTTTATGATATTATGTGGTTTGTGGTCCGGTTCGGATTGAAGTATGGCCCTGTATGACATTGTTAAGTTTGTCGTGCGGTGATGATTGGCCATTAAGACTATCTATACCTTACAGACTTATTGTATGATGTTTTTTTTCATGAACATCCATTAACACAATTGTGTGGCTCTGTACGTTACTTTTGTGATGATGGGTCGTGATGATCTCATTTTGGCCCATTAAGACCAGTCTGTGGCCCTTTATGAAACTATTATGTATTGTGAAGATTGGTCGTTAAGACGTCTTTGTGGCCACGTCTGATTCTTTGTAATGATTGGTCGTTTCGACTAGTTTGTGGCCTTGTAAGATTGGTCGATAAGACTTGTTTGTGGCCCTGTAAGATTGGTCGTTAAGACTAGTTTGTGGCCCTGTAAGATTGGTCGTTAAGACTAGTTCGTGGCCCTGTAAGATTAGTCGTTAAGACTAGTTTGTGACCGTGTAAGATTGGTCGATAAGACTAGTTTGTGGCCCTGTAAGATTAGTCGTTAAGACTAGTTTGTG